ACGCACACACGCACACACTCACTAACACATACACACACACACACACACACACTCCAGATTCCAGATTTTCAAATAGTTGTATTTCAGCCAAATATTGTCCTATCCTAACAAACCATACATCAATGGAAAGCTTATTATTCAAAGGGTCACATAGTTTAACTTGGACAGGGCAATTGATTAATTAGACGTGACTGTGTGGGTTAGCTTTAGATTATGTGTGTAATAACTGATTTTTTATGAAATTTAGAATATTAAAGTAATTAATAATGAAATTATTTGATATGAATGTATCTGATACATTTGATATCAACTGTTTTACTTGTTGAAGATAACTGAAATGAAATCAAAATAAAACTTAAATTAACAAAATTTGAATATTATGAATATTAATATGAACAGAAAATATATTTTATGCTTAAAAAAAGCATATTTTAGGAACAGTTTTGCATTGCAACATCATTTTCATGACAATTTTTTTATTAATGTGCTTCCAAAATTGTCATTGTCATCACGGTAACGCAAAACATTTTATTGTATTTATTCATTATGGTAGTATTTGTGGAACAGCTTTTAAAATGTAAGCAAGCTGAAATGTAAAATTCATCATATTCACAATAATTCACAAGCATCATGAGAACGTTGGGAAGAAAGTGTGCTGAATTGCTTTGAAAATAATTAACAATCCAAAAAAAAAAAAAACGGCCCTAAAAATCGGATGGTTTTTCCTATAATTCTCTTGATAAATGATTTGCCTGGTGAGCTGGAAAATAGTTCAATTAAAACAATTAATGGCAGTCCATAAAGCCTTAAGTTAATGATGCTTGAAATCCCAGCCAGCGTTCTCTTGCATCCAGAGCCGTCTGCTGCTGTCTTTGTGCTCTTACTAGTCCTGTGAATTTACCACAGGTTTGCCGGCAAAAACCAGTGAGAACCTGCTCATTATATTTACAGCACACTGCTGGTTCTGGCAGGGAAATATTCATGCCTTTTTAGCCTTTATATATATATATATATTATGATTTATAAGTATATAATGTGTATATGTCTTGTTTAGTTTCTTCATTTATAGATAGATGGATTAGGATTTACAGTTTTACATAATGAATTCTCAAATATGTATGTGTATCTATAATTAGAATATACACATAAATTATATACTCTGATTTCTAAATATATAGTGAGATTTAATAATAAAATACATAATTCCATTAAAATATATATAGATAGATGGATGGATGGATGGATGGATAGATAGATGGTTAGATAGATAGATAGATAGATAGATAGATAGATAGATAGATGATGGATGGAGGGATAGATAGATAGATAGATAGATGGCTAGATAGATAGATAGATAGACAGATGGTTAGATAGATAGATAGATGGCTAGATAGATAGATAGCTAGACAGATGGTTAGATAGATAGATAGATGGCTAATATATATATATGGCAAGACAATATGTCTTTGTTCCTCGCACACACACACATACTCAAAGGCGATGTGTGTGATGTAAATCTCAGGCAGAGTGAAGGCATCTCAGCCCCTCCCTCATTCTAGAACACAGGACTTCATGTCATTGTAATTCATGTTGCCTAGCAACATGGGAGTCGTCATAGAGGCCCAACAATAAAGAGATGACATGTACAGTGATGTGCTGAGCGCTTTAACGCCGAGATATGCCTCCGCCATCTTTTCCTGCTCGATAGATAGATAGATGATGGATAGATAGATAGATAGATAGATGATGGATAGATAGATAGATAGATAGATGATGGATAGATAGATAGATAGATAGATAGATAGATAGATAGATAGATGATGGATAGATAGATAGATAGATAGATAGATATAGATTAATATGTATATAGTAAGATTTTACATAATTAGTTCCCTTATAATTTTTGACATAGATTTGTGTGTGGGTGTGTGTATGTTTATATATATATATATCGCCAGCACCTGACGAACTAATACTACCACTTACCTA